ATAGATAGATAGATAGATAGATAGATAGATAGATAGATAGATGGATGGATGGATGGATGGATAGATAGACAGAAAGACAGATAGATAGATAGATAGACAGACAGACAGACAGACAGATAGACAGACAGACAGATAGATAGACACAGACAGACAGACAGATAGACAGACAGACAGGAAAGGTAGACAGATAGACAGGATAGACAGACAGACAGACAGACAGACAGACTGTTGTGACCTGCAGGACGATGGCTGGCACTGAGAAGATCATAGCCTCATTGAAGATTGGATTAGTATCATCTCTTTTTACGGATGTCTTCTTTTTACTGATCTTCCTGCCGTCCTGGAGCAGGTACACCTTCACAAACGGATCTGTTAACATGGAAACAGACAGAAATCAGTTCATGATTTTCAGACAAAATGTTTTCCAAAGTAGCAGATGTTCCTGGATTCTATTTCTAGAACAACATTCCAATCAACTAGTTGTTGTTCCAGCCCTAATACTAACTCTAACTGATAATCAGTTGATAAAAATATTGAGTCAAGAGAATCTAGCTCAGCTTCACACCTGCTGTGGTCTTTCCGTTAGTCCAGACCAGGTTCTTGGCTTTGGCGATGACCACGGTGAGACGTTCTGCAGTCGGCAAATAACTGAGAGACAACAGGACCTCGCCGACAGCGTCCACAGCCTGAAGAGAAACATCAAACCAACTCAAACAAAAAAATGTATCAGTTTTTGAACAGCTTCTATGAACTGACCCCTCTGAACAAAATGATTCACCACGAATCGAACTTTCTGTTACTGCATATAGTGAGGACATTGTAGAAGAAAATGCACTTTTTTATTGAATTTCATTTTCATTTACCTTGTTGATGTCCTGCAGGTAGAGCCAGGCGTTAAACGGCCGGAACGCCAGGTCCAGATCTGACAGTTTGAGTTCTGCCACTCCAGCACTGATGTTCCGTTCATCTGAATCCACACCAAAGGTGGAGAACCGCAGACTGTTCTCCTCCAGATTTACTGAATCCAATGGAATAGAGAAGTGCTCGTCAAACATCACGGTGAAGGCATTTCTCTGGACCTGCAGAAGAGAATAAATTAGAATGAGATGTTTCACTATCACTGATGATATTAAAGGGGACATGGGATGAAATTTTTACTTTTGCAGCCGGTTTCTATGTAGATAGTTAGCTATTTGAATAAGACCAGCATATACGAAGTCTATTCACTTGTCTTGTGTAGACACGCCCCAAGGAAGAGAAGTGTGGGGTGAGCAGTAGCTCATTATCATTTAAAGAGACATGCACCGAAATGAGTCGCTGTAAACAGACTTGTTTTTGACAGGGTAAAAAGGGTGTTGTTTTACACAACCATTGAGGAATTTTAACCAAAGTATGTTATAGACTTTTCATGAAGACCCTAAAGAATCATACCAACTTGTGTAAAATGGGCATCTGATGTCCCCTTTAATTGGCATTAATGATGTTTATATGGTAATTTCACTTTTAATTATTATTTTACACCCCTTTAAAGATCCTTA